ATCAGCGGGTATGAAGTTATGTAATCCCTGAGCCAGGGGATGCGGGTGGCGCTGTGGGTTAAACCACAGAGCCTAGGACTTGCCGATCAGAAGGTCGGCGGTTCGAATCTCCGCAACGCGGTGAGCTCCCGTTGCTCGGTCCCTGCTCCTGCCAACCTAGCAGTTCGAAAGCAAAAAAAAATGCAAGTAGATAAATAGGTACCGCTCCGGTGGGAAGGTAAATGGTGTTTCCGTGCACTACTCTGGTTTGCCAGAAGTGGCTTAGTCATGCTGGCCACATGACCCGGAAGCTGTACGCCGGCTCCCTCAGCCAATAAAGCGAGATGAGCTCTGCAACCCCAGAGTTGGTCACGACTGGACCTAATGGTTAGGGGTCCCTTTACCTTTACCTTTAATCCCTGAGCCAAGGAGATAAGTAACTATACAATCTTTAGAAGACATCTGAAGATAGCCCTGTTTAGGGAAGCCTTTTAATGTTTTGTTATGTTTTTATATATGTTGGAAGATGCCCAGAGTAGCTTGGACAACCCAGTCAAATAGGTGGGATAATAATAATAATAATAATAATAATAATAATAATAATAGAATAGGACATCCCTATTTTTATCAGATAAATGTTGGAGAGTATGAGTCCCACTTTCCACAGTGTGCAACCAAATGCCAATGTGAAACTCTCCCACACTTCTGCTTTTCCCAGGAAAAGCCTTTTCCCAGGAAGCCTGGGTCCTAGTGGTTTTCTGCTTGTCCCATACTTTCTAGCCATGGGTCCAAGCAGTTTTGCCTTTGCCCTGCAGCTTTCCCCCAGGAAACCTGCTCTTAAACATTAAATTGGCGATCTGCAGAACACTTGATTGCTGTTTGTTCTGAGTCAGCACTAAACTGCAAGTTTCCCCCAGGAAAAGCAGAGGGAGAAACTGAGGTACAAATAAGCCCTAATTGTACAAGCCTGGCCTAATATACAGTGGTACCTCAGGTTACAGACACTTCAGATTACAGACGCTTCAGGTTCCAGACTCCGCTAACCCAGAAATAGTCCTTCAGGTTAAGAACTTTGCTTCAGGGTGAGAACAAAAATCGTGCTCTGGCGGCACGGAAGCAGCAGGAGGCCCCATTAGCCAAAGTGGTGCTTCAGGTTAAGAACAGTTTCAGGTTAAAAATGGACCTCCGGAACGAATTAAGTACTTAACCTGAGGTACCACTGTATTTAGAAAAGAGGCGCCTTGTTTTTATCTCTTATCAGGGCAGTGGCATTATGATGGTAAACTTAGTGCCGTTATCCTAAAATGCTAGCAGAAAGGAGTCACAACCTTTGAGAGAGTTTGGTCATCTAACTCAGCTCTGGAAGCAGGGAAAGGGATGGCATCATATGACTCCAAGCAGGAAAGGACGTGAAGCCTTCCAAAGCTATGCAAGCTCTTAAGCTCATCCCCCAAATAAGTTCAGTCTGGAAACTTTAGGCTAACATATGTGTTATGATCAAACATCACATTAAACATTTGGCACTTTTTCAGCTTTTCCATTATGCATCTTCTGTTACTCACTGGAAGCCTGGAGGTCACTAAATGAAAGAGACTGGCTGGCAGGAAAGAGTACTTCCTTCCTGTCTCATTTTCGGCTTGTTTACTTACCATATTTGACGGAACCTTTGTGTGGAATCAATTAAGGATGTTCACTTTTTAAGTGTCTGTCTGCATGGAGAGCTTTTTGTGCTCTTAGTCTTAAGTTTCTAAACATAACTATAAATGCAGAGAGCAGGCTAGCTCCGCTGTCTGAGCCAGGAGGAACAGTCTCCATCCGGCCAAGGTTGCAGCCCAGCCGCCCACTCCCCTATTTACATACCCAGGCAGAATGTTGCAGGAAAGGACCATGTCTGCATGTCTGCACGTGTGTCTTGTGCTGTATGGAGGGCCGGATTTAGATGAAGAGGGGCCCTAGGCTACTCCACTAATGAGGCCCCTCCCTATCCCCCACCCTCACAATTAGAAGAAAATGGAAGGGTGTTATAAACAAAATTGAGTGAAGTCAAGGATGATGACGGGTATTTAAAAGATTCTGCAATTCACAATTTCTCCTCTAAAGGATATAAGAGCTTATTGTTAAATATCGTGGTGAATTTTAAAAATGCATAAAATTAACACTGAAAAACTTTTGCAATAACTGAACTTTGTAAACCTTTTGTGGAATAAGCATTATTTTTTAGGAAAATGAAGTTGTAATGTTATTCTTTTAAAAAAACCCCGAAGGAGTGTGTCAGCTCAGCCCTGTAGAACAGTGGCATTGCTTGGGTTCCCGTCGACACAGGCAGTCCTGCTTACATGTGCGTCAAAAATGGAGCCGAAAAGGGGTGGGGCAGAATGGGCAAATCCTCACTTCCTTGTGTCCTGTAATGAGCCCCGCAGTGTAAGTGGCTTCCACAAAGGAGCCACAGAAAGAATGTGGTTGGTCAAGGGAGCAATGGACTCTAAAAGGTTGAAAACCACTGTTTTAAGCAATGGGTATGTAATGCCTTATGCCTAAAACATCTTTTCTCATTTTGAGATTTTTTTACAGTATCTCTTTTTCATGTTCTAACCCATGATTAGAAAATATTTTAGAGTTTTTCTATCCCACCGAATTAGCCCTGTGACTTAAGTAGTGAGCCATACTAATACAATCTCTGGAGTGGAAGAGGCATTTCACAGTTTCAGGATAATTGCTCCCTTTTATACATGTGCCTTTGAATACCGTTGGCTTGCTCTGAAACTAGGATATGCAAAGGCATGAGAAATAAACAGAGAAAATTATTAGTCTGTTATTTTTTACTACCTCGGGTTCATGTTGGGCTAGGTACCCAACTTAAAACACTTAACAACTGAAGAAACAAGGGTCTGCCGAGAAAAGTTCAAGGTTCCAGCTGCTGAAGATGCAATAGCATCTTAATATTGCATAATACTTGGAGCAGCAGGCTTGGTCAACTTCCAAGATTCGGCTGGAACATATGCCAAGTCTCAGAAGACCCCACTAATTACTGAAAGAGAGTGACAGAAATTGGGATTGCTCATCTTGCTCCCCACTTCTGGTTTGGTAACAAACGGAAGCAAAAGAGCAGAAACATTGGTTTAGATCCAAAGTGCTATTTTCCACTAGTTTCCCTCCCATTCCCCTAGCAATTCATAGCCCTTTTTATTTTTTTTGGCCTTGTGTATGTAGAGCTCCCATTGCTCAGTCCCTGCTCCTGCCAACCTAGCAGTTCGAAAGCACGTCAAAGTGCAAGTAGATAAATCGGTACCGCTCCAGGAGGAAGGTAAACGGCGTTTCCATGCGCAGCTCTGGGTTCTCCAGAAGCGGCTTAGTCATGCCACATGACCCAGAAAAACTGTCTGCGGACAAACATCGTTGGCTCCCTCGGCCGTAAAACGATGTGAGCGCCACAACCCCAGAGTCGTTCGCGACTGGACTTAACTGTCAGGGGTCCTTTACCTTTATGTTGATAATGTATATTAGGGGTGGCTAAGTTGTGAGCCTCCAGATTTTGCTGGACTACAATTCTCAACATCCCTAACCATTGGCCATGTTAGCTATGGATGATGGGAGCTGGAGTCCCACAACAGCTTGTGGGCCACAGGTTTCCCTGTCCTGTTTCCAACAAAGTTGGAGAAAAGCAACTACTTATTATTTTTTTAAGGTCTACATTGATCTCAGAGCTCCCGTGATGTCCATAAATATGAGTAGTGGAATCTTATACATATCTACTTGGAAATCAGCTCAATTAATTCCAAGCAGACTTACTCCCAGATAAGTATGTTATATGGCAGCTTTATTTCATCGATATATTTTGCAAGCAAACTCGTACAAGGTTTTCTTGTGTCTGAAATGAAACAGTGAAAGTGTTTTTTTTAAATATATATATATATATATATAGCAAAATAATTAGAACCGACTAAACAGAATTTATGATTACCCTTTTAGTCCTGGCATTTTCTAGCAATTAAAACTGGCACCAGAGTGAACCCACTGCAGTTCATTCATTGACACATGAATGCAAAGTTCTTTGAAAAAGACTCATAAACCCACATGCAGTCTGCCTCCTGAGGTTTGTATTTGCATTTCTGTAATACCCAAAGAAGTATAACACTTTCTGTAGCCAGATAACTACACAGTCTCATCTGCATGGTTTATTCCAGCAAGCACATGGAATATCATGAATTCAAAAAATGTGACTCTAAAATTGAAGGCAGAAGTTTACAAACTTGGGCAGGGCACATCTTCTCTTGAGACGTGCATTTCTCTTAGTGCTTGTGCACTATATGCTTAGTTAGGTGAATCTCACCCATTGATTGTAGTACTTTGATATCCTTGATACAAAATTCAGTATATAAATCCTATGAACTACAGGCAGAGATACTGCATACAGCACAGACTACCATCAAGAGGCATCACAAGTGAATAGCTGCGGAAAGGATATAGACAAGATTCCATTAGGCGTCTCCATTCACCCTCAAAATCGGGGTGATTTTCTTTACACAGTAAGTAAGACCTAAAGAAGTAAAAGGAAGAAACTAGGTACATTCTGTTCTGTTCTGATGCAATCACTATATTTTAGAGGTGTGGAGACCAAAAGCTGTCAGAAGTATTATCTCTGCTTAGCAAAGAAATTGCAAGCTGCCATTCTGATCTCATAAGCATCACTGAACTCTTCAATAACTCAATACAATTTACAGAAAACGATCCTCAAATCCTCTCTTTTACAAGAAGAAAGTTGAAATTCATTTTGCAGAAAATAACAGAAGAGAAAAGCAGGGCATTGCCAACTGCCCAATAGTAGAGTCAGGGAAATTAGTTTTCCTCTGTCCAAAAGACCCTCTAGTACCTAACTTGGTTCCTAAAATTAACCTTCTGGCACAGGGACACCCCCCACACACACACTTCCAAATTAATCTGGATTTATGATTAGAAAAAAGAAATGAAAACTGGCAGGTTAGTTCGTGACTACATGCCAAGTTGGTGAATGTCTGAATAGTGCTATACTTAGGGCAGAAGTGGATTTAGAGCAATGCGACCGGTTTGCCCACAACAGGCACCCAACCTCGGGGGCACTGCAGGGTGAACCACAACTATGTTGTAGAATGGAAGGAGAGAGGCAGGATGCCAAATTTTGGCATCACACAGCAAGCTGCTGAAATTTGAGACCCCAGTGTCTCAAAATGAGTGAAAGCAAGGCACAAAATTATGACAACTCAGTAGCTCTCTATTCTTTCCTAGGGAGGCGCACATGACACTGTAAGAACCACCAGTATATAACTGGTGGCAAATGTGCTGTGTTGTTTTTTTAAAAAGCGAGCCATCAGCATCAACACGAGCAACCTTTGGAAGACCTGAAATACACATTGACAAAAGCTGTGAAGGCCTGTCAGCTCTTTGCAGCTAGAGCAAAGCATTGACTCTCATCTTATTCCAACTAATAAAAGACGTATTCATTTGACTTTCTTCTTCTTCTCATCATACAATACTTGTACAAGTGCAGTTAATTGGTTGTGCCAAGAGTTTGTTTTCTGTATTGACATAGTAAGAGATGTTCATGGACTCATTGCTTACAGAACCAGGAATTGCAGTGTAATTTGCAGTGACATTTGAACTCTCATGATGGAAGTAACAGGTCAAGAAAAAGACCCACCTTTTCCTAACACATTTAAGGATCTTGAAACCCACCCATACAGATTTCTTTCATAACTTCTTAACAAATGCTTGCATGTAACTGCAATTGGTTGCTATATCTCCTTATGCTAATTGTAACCATTTGATGCGGGTCACTATGATGCAATGAACAGAATCTATTTTTATGATGGGCTTTTATCCTTCTGTGCTGTTCATAGTTTATTTGTTTACATCTTACATACTAATGGTATTATTACAATGTGTGTTTTGGCATATAAATTCTTGGACATTTTGTACACTGTGAGTGCCCTAATCAATTGATATATCCCTACAATTCCCATGGTAAGGGATAGACAACTTTGTCAGTTTCAGTTTATCACATTTTCCCTATCTTCAGTTCATCAGATTTCCACATTGGATTGAAAAACAAACAAACAAATCATGAAAATTCATCTTCATTTATCCTAAGGCACCCATTTTTTGTATACCATTTTCTCTAATGTACCACATTTCTGCAAGTGATTTTTCCCTAATATAATGCATTCTTGTACATCATTTGTCTCTAATATATGCCCTTGTGTGCACACTTCCCCCTAATATATGCATTTTTGTACAGTTTTGGGTTGGATAATTTTGTATCACGGAAATCAAAGAAGAGAAAATTTCAAAAAATGGCTGCACTTCTGTTCATGTATTGTTCTGGGAAGTGGAAATCTGATACATTTGCTTTGAAATATGAACTGAATCCCTCCCATCCCTACCCATATAAGTGTGGGACCAAAGGCAAGCTGTGTGAGGTCAAGAAGCGGCCAAGACAACACCTTATCTTCCTCTCTCTCTCTCTTTCTCTTTCTCTTTCTCTTTCTCTGTCTCTGTCTCTGTCTCTGTCTCTGTCTCCTATCCATGGCCCTTTCAGTCTCTCCCTCTTCCTCTCCACTCAGTAGCCAGTCAGGGCAGGGGCAAATTGGTCTGAAGGGTCACTTGTAAAGGGGTTGCCCATCCCTATCTTCTTCGATTGTTCCAGCAATTTCACCTCTAACAGCAGAGCTCCACAACATTATATTGCTCCTGGAAGAGAAGAAAGAAGCAGAAGGGAAGGGATGGACAAATGGGAAATTATTGCTGTTGTGGAATGCCTTCCTCCTCCTTGTTGCTTCAGTTTCGCCTTCATTTTCTGCAGCAGCACAGCAAATGACTGCTTTTCAATACATTTTTCATGGCTCTCACTCTCTTCAGCAACCCAATTTGATTTTATCAATAGAATATTAGATTTGAAAACAGCTCATGAGCTGAGAGGAAAGCAGTTTTCTCTAGTCCCTCAGACTGCCCAGTTTTACAGGATTGAACTTCATTCTCAGACACAAAAGAAAGGGAAAGTTTATCTTGTGCCTCTGGGCATTTCCCATTATCTGAGACTAACATTAGCAATAACTTTTCAGAAGAAAGAGGGAGAAACTTGCTTTCACAATGGATGGACACATCAAAAATATATTGTGAGGCAAAGGAAACTTTCATGGTCTGTGACAAGGATGGGATACAGCACTCTTCCCACTTGTGATTCTTAGCAACTGGCATTCAGAACCATAGTGGAGGGAGTCCATAGACATCATGGCTGGTGGACATTGATAGCTTTTGTTGGAAATGCAATAGCAGGGATCATTCAGTTAGTAACCTAAGGGGGGAAATGTTTATAGCTAGCCCAAGTGTTACCTAGCAACCACTCTGACTGGCATGAACTTTGCTGAGGTAACTCAAGTTCTGAGTTCTGAGTGTGGTTCTAAGGGAGTTTTCCCCTCTAGGTGTGATTGTATGAACTAGACCTGAAGTAAAAAAAGTCAAAATTTCTCGATTCCTTTTCCCTAAAATTTTGTGCTGTTTTCCCCCAGTGAAAGCTTATCAGGATGTATTTCTCTCTGTGTTATTTAAGAGGACTTTGCTAACAGCCTTATCCTCCATGCATTTGTCTAACCTCCTTTTTTAAAGCCATCAGAGTTGGTGGCCATCACTGCAACAGGAACAAATGGCATGCACTTTCATAAACAAAAGCAACTTCTTTTGGTGCTAACTTGGAATAAGGTTTATTAATAATCTCAAAAGTACCATCAAACATATTCATCTCTGACTAACACAGCTTTCATATTACAAAGGCCAAAGAACTTACTGAAGAACTTTCCTCCATCATACGCTAGTGTCCAGTCAGAAATTGGTGAAATGTCTGGGAAAATCTGTGTCAGTCAGAGACAAATATGAGATTTTGAGATTACACTGCCCATAGTGAGTGTAGATTTTGGTGATTTCCATTCTTGTTCAACAACTTCATCCAAAACTAACATAAGCTGAACTAGAGAGAACTGAAGGTACATATTTTCTGGCCAGTTATGGGCATTTCAGGTGAAGGAAATTCACAAAGCATCTGTCCTTGTTCTGTCTTTTTCAAGTTTATTGCTATATTTGGTCATGATAGATATTAGCTCTACCATAAGGCTGAACTAACTTGCACCATTTGTCAGATTACATTAAGGCCTCACTTCAACATAGAAAATTTAATTATCCTAAAATACCTAATGTGGTACACAAAATAATGTTAACTGTCATGTCAAAATTGCTAAGTAGATAGATACAATGATTGAAGCTTGGGTTTCATTAGACACTATATTACATAGAGCTGTACTGAAAGATCTATTGAGTACAGTCTCCCTGACAGAAGTTAATTTGCAGCTTTCATTTAAAGAAAGTTCCCAAATAAGAAAATATCAAACTTGACACTCCTATTATGTTTACAGGTTTTTTTTAAAAAAAGAAATGTGTCAAGCTTCTTCAAACCACACAATATGCAAGGGCTAAGGTTTTTTCTATTTTCAAAGCCAAACTTAACATATTCCGCAGGCATATGCTATGGCATGATGCTAAGTTTAAAAGCGACCAGAGGTCTAGCTGTAAAAGAAGTCACAGAGGAGGATGTGATATGAGTTACGTTTTGGAAATAAAACATCTTGCCAGAGATCTGGGTGCTCTGGTCCTGCCAGCTGTCACAATGTATGAACGCACCATATAAATAGTTGTATATATAATTACACTTATTTGCAATGAGGAACTTGAAATAAATAGAGACATAAGAAGGAAGTGAAAGCACCTGTAACTATAGTCACACTATGGCTAGATCCAAATTTTGTCCCTTAAAAATCAATGGGATAGGATTAGGAAGATGAAAACAAAAGAAAGAGAGCACTACGGAAGTTATAAAAGATTCGTAAGAAGAAGTAAAACAATAAATATAGCTACAATATGGATCGGATCCAGATTTTGCCATACTTAGGGTTTACACTAAGTACAGTGGTACCTTGGATTACAAACTTAATTCGTTCCAGAGGTCCGTTCTTAACCCGAAACCTTTCTTAACCTGAGACACGTTTTCGCTAATGGGGCCTCCTGCTGCCGCTGTTCTGCCAGTGCACTATTTCCGTTCTCATCCTGGGGCAAAGTTCTTAACCTGAGGTACTACTTCTTGTTGGAAAGGTGCCCTGGGAAGGCTGCCAACTTCCCAAGTCTTTGGAGCGTCTCTTTGGTGGTCCCCTCTCTGGCTCTAAATCTCCCTTAGTCCAGAGAGACCGGTAATAAGCAACCCCCCTCTCCTGAGAAGAGCACACCAGTCTTCTGGTATATCATAGCAGAAGAAAGACTCAATCGTAGTTCTAAACTACTTTTTTTGCACTCTTATAATACAGAGACTCCATCAGTACGTCTGTGCTCTCTGAACACCAGTACAGAACTGTGACACACTCAGAAGTGAAACTATCTTCCAACAGTACTCAGACTTCCTGTCTCACACTCACTCAGACATGATGTACACAAAACATAGTACCACTGCTGGAGCAGCTCGGATAGATAAAAATCCTAATACTTCTGGGTTAGTGGAGTTTGTAACCCAAAGTGTTTGTAACCCAAAGTGTTTGTAACCCGAGGTACCACTGTATAACTAACTTTGCATCTAACCCAATATGCAATTTCAAGAAGTCCTATCCATTACCCTTCTTCACTCTGTAAACATGTGTGAGCAGCTGGTTCCTGGCTATGTATCTCAGAAGAACCTGGTGTGAAAAATGAAACAGTAAACAATCCATGTATGCTGTGTTCTTAACAGCTTCCCAGTTGAGTCAAAGGATAAAATGCCAAAGGTTATTCATACAAACTCTGGAGTCATTCTATTGAGCCACTAAAATTGCACTGGGAATTCCTCCCAGGTAGACTCAGGCTATCATATCACAGGGTGTTCCTTGTCAGCAATCATCTTTGGCGCTTCCCCCATGCCTACCCAGGCAATTCCCAGCCACTGGCCTCCTGAACATTTAAGAGACATTGATCCCCCTGAAACATAACCCTATGGGATCCTATGGCACAGCAGTGGCTCCCTGTTCTTTGTCACATCATTAAATGATAAAGCACTCGTGTTTTCTGATAATTCCACAACACTGTTCTACCTCCCCAGTAATCTTAATATCCCATGCCAGAGGCTACCTGTATTCCACACGGTGGACATGAATTTTAATTCTGACTAATTTTTTTAATGAACGCTCAACATATATTGTCATTTGACTTTTAGCATATGGATGGATGAATAGAGAGGTTTTGCAAAAGACCTTTGGCTGTGTGTATTAATGCTTAACTATTCATTAATGCTAAATCAAAATAATAAATGTCATAAAATGGTCTGGTGAGGTGGCGCAGGGGGGAGGGTCTCATCAGAAATGGGGATCAGGAATGTGAAAGGATGTCTTCATTCCAACTGTTTTGCACCCTGCTCAGCCAACGGCAGATTTTTTATGACACGGCCTCAGAAGTTGCCCAAACTAGAGTTCTTGCAGCAGTGAGAATGCAAACTCCATTCTGAACAGATGGCGATTGCTCAACTTTAAATTTCAAATTTGCCCTTTATTACCTAAGTTTAAATGAAGACAATAATGCCCAAAGGGCTTTCACAGGCTAAATAAATTCCCCCTGCTGCTTCATGACCATGCTGGTTCCACAGGGAGTCAGTGATACAAAGCATAAATATCCTTTTAAAGAAAAACAGGGTGGTGAGATACCAGCTGCATTGTCATTTAACCAAACGATAAACTACAATCCTAATTATTTACATGTGAATCAAAAGAACTGATACAGTTCTAAATGGAAACTGCCTTGGTTAACTGAAAGACGCAATGCTACCCATTGTGTATATATGCCATCAAGAAAAAGATGTTGTTCTTCTAAGGCAATAATCCCTTCCTGCCAAAATAAATAAATAAATAATCATAGGGTCATAGAACCAGAAGGATCCTTGGACGTCCGTGCTCATAGCAGGACTCCTGCAATCCCAGGAGCTATGACAGATGGCTATTCAACTTCTTTTTAAATTCTCCCAGGGAAGGTTGGGCTGTAGCTCCGTGGTAGAACATCTGCCTAGGTCCTGTGGAATGTAACATAAGCAGTCAAGTACAACACTTCCTGTTTGCCCAGAGTGGATACACAGGGGGGGGTGTTATTCCAACCAGGAGGACTTCCTGTCACACCTATCTGGAGCTTCCTCCCCCTGCATGTGACCAGGTAGATGGGTGTGACCCTGGGAGACCCCATAAAAGAACCAGTCATGCAGCCATCTTCCCTTGTTGTTGTTGTTGTTCTTTTGATGCTGATACTGATGTATTTTGCTGTCTGCTGGCGCTCAGCCAGCAGCACATGAGCTCATTCCCATATGGGATGAACTCAAACTGTCTTCTGTAACTACAAGCTTAAGCCTGCCTTCAGGGATCCAATTGTGGACTGAATGTGAGTAAACTTCTTATTCCTTTTAAAAGAAGATTGTTGTGTCTTTATTCTTTTTAGAGGGGATAAAAGGGGACTTACCAGAAACAAAGAGATTCAAACATTTGTACCAACTAGCTTCCTGCTATATACTGAGGAATGTACTCTGCTCACAAGCGTGAGTGGGGAAGGATAATATTAAATCAATATTTCCTCTCCTAGTATCCACAACATTCTCACAGGTTCAGTCTCCAGGATCTCTGGGTATCTCTGGGAGAGACCATCATGCCATCTGTCATGGATGCTTTAGATAAGATTCCTGCATAGCAGGAGGTTGGACTAGATGACCCTTGAGTCCCTTCCAAATCTAAGTTTCTGATTCTGTTATTCCTGCCTGAAACCCTGAAGAGCTTCTGCTGCCAGTCACTGTAGACAGCGCTAAACTAAATGGGCCAATGGTCTGACTCAGTATAAGGCACCTTCCTAGGTGCCCCCCCCCAGCATCTCCTGGACCAATCTCCACCACAGTTAAATAGCTCTTACCCTTAGGAAGTGTCTCCTTGCAATCTTCATCCGTTAATTGCAAACCTGTCCTCTGGAGCACCAGAGAAGAAATCTGCTCTGTTTTTTAAAAAATAAATTTGTATACTGCCCTTCAGTCAAAGATCACAGGGTGGTTCACAACATAAAAATACAAAATGAGAACACAAAATACATAATAGAACAAAAACAGAAACCAACCAATAACTCCCCCCTCCCACAAACACATTTATAAGGCTATAGAATGTTAATCAGTCGATGTTAATATAGAGAAACGTTGTCATCTGTCCAAAGTCATCATGTTAAGGTATTTTGCATATTGTGTGTAACAAATTATATCATAGGCTAATGAGTAATTCCCAACAAATG